GGTGCTGGGGGATTGAACCGCGGTCCCTGTGCTTTGCTAAGCTTGTTCTAAGTAGGTGCTTTAGACCACTGAGCCATCTCACCAGCCCCAACAAACACAAAGTTCTTGAAATGCTTCTTGGGTTCTGAGGAGTATGTGCTTTACACAAAAGTACATTTTAGATGGGTGTTCACTTGAAATAGATCTTTCTCTCCCTTTCCATAGGGCATCTTCCCTTCAAACCAGACATGGTATCCCAGTTGGAAGCAGAAGAAAAGCTTTGGGTGATGGAAACAGAGACCCATGGAAGTAGGTATTTTGGGGCGAACCACATGCCTGTTCTTCCAGGTACCAGCTGGTCTGCTTCTCCACACGGCCACGATTGTCACCTTTGTCCAGGTGCTTTCCCTTCTCACCTGGAGTGCAACAGTAGCTTCCACGCCGGTCCCTGTGCTTCCGCCCTCACACCTCGATGACGCACTCGCTGCTCAGGGGCCAGAATGGTAGATCATTGATGAAACCACTGCTCTGCTCAAAGCCATCCAGGCCTTTCTATGTCACCAAGTCCTTAGTCCAGACTGCAAGACCCCTCTTTATCTCATATTCTACCAAGTTTCTCTGTGCTCTCCCCCTTGCTTAGGTTATTCTAGTCATATGAGGTCCCATGCATGTTCTTTTTGAGTTGTTTCTGTTGCACGGCCTTTGAGGAGCCTCCTTTCTATATCAGCACCATCTTCCCACCCCTACTGCTTCCCATCTCACAGTCACTGCTCAAATTTCACCTGCTTAGAGAGGCCTGTCCTATTTAAAATTCTGCCTTTGCGCCAGCCAGATAGCTCAGTGGACTAAAGCTCCTGCTTAGGCAGAGCACAGCAGCTGGGGTTCCATCCCTGGGGTGCTGTGCCAGCCCCACCCCTGGAGTGCACTGAGATGGCAATTGAGACAGCATGGTGGTGCATGCCTGTTAATCCCAGCACTTGGGAGGCTGTAAACAGGAGAATCACTACAAGTCCGATCTACATTGTGAGACCCTGTAGACCCTGCACCAAATATATATTAAAAAAAAGAGGGGCTGGTGAGATGGCTCAGTGGTCTAGAGCACCTACTTGGAACGGGTTTGGCAAAGCACAGGGACCATGGTTCGATCCCCCAGCACCACATGCCGGCCAGCCCCACCCCTGGTGGGCTGAGCTGGCCACACACACACACACACACACACACACACAATAATAATAAATAAATGTTTAAAAAAAAAAAAAAAGAAAATGCTACCTTCTATTCTCCACCCCCTTACCCTGCCTCATTTTATGTCTCAGTACTACTGATCACCCATTGATGTAATAGCTTATTATTATTATTATTATTATTATTATTATTATTATTTTGGTACTGGGGGTTGAAGCATATTATATTTTTTACTTGTTCTTCATCTGTCCCCACAGAAGTTGAATTTTTGGCATTTTTGTTTACTTCAGCCCCCTACTCGAGCAAAACAGGCTTATCTGTTAACCTAGTGCTATAGAAAATAATATGGGGCCAGGAGTTTCACTCAGCAGGTCAAACACTTACCTAATATTACCAAGGCCTTGGGTTTCATCCCCAGCTCTGCAGAAAATAAAAAGAGGCAGAGAAAGGGAATGGGTGAGATGAAAAATACATGTAGGTAAGGAGGAGCTTGTTTTACATTGGATGTTCTGGAAGGTATTACTGGGAAGTGACAGCCGGGCAGAGACTTGAAGAGAATGAGGGAAAGCGAGCCCTGGAGCGTTGTGGGAAAAAGCATGGCAGGTGCCTAAAGCTTCTTCCCTTCCTCTTCAGGTTGGCTTTGGGAGTCTGCACTGTGCACCGATTCTTTCCTTCTCTCAGGTTTTTCTCAGTTGTACAAGATAAGCTTTCCCTTTTCCATTTCTTTTACAAAGACTTGAGTTACTGTCAGGTTTTAGAACAATGGTGTCAATATTCTAGCCATTTTCCCAAATTAATTCATGGTTTTCTACCAACACCTAAAATATTATTTTATGCCCAATAGTGACCTTTTTTTTTTTTTTTTTTAACCTAAATTAAACACAATCCACTGGCCTTAGTGATAAAAAGATGTGTACATGGTATGGAAGACTCATCCCAGAGTGCTGAGCTCCATCTCTAGCCCCTGCCCCCTTTAAAAAATACATTGGTAATTCAGTTCCTGAGCTTTCCACAACTCTGGTCACAAAGAAGCGTATCAAATTTCCCCATAGGAAATTGGGTCAACATGGAACCTAACCCTTGGATTTCAGTTATCATCCAATTCAGTTTACAACCAAAATTGTTGCAATTGAGTTCATGAACTGAGGAACCACTGTATTATTTTAGGTTAAGTTCTTGCTAAGTTGCCCGGAATGGCCTCAAACTTGTGAACTTGCCTCAGCCTCAGCAGCTGTGATTGTATGTAGTTGGCCAATAAGCTTTTAATTGATATTATTGTAGGTTGAAATATAGGGTTTTTTTTGGTTTTGTTTTGTTTTTTATTTTTGAGACAAAGTCATACCTTATAGTTCACGCTGACCTTGAACTCACAGCTATTTTCCTGCCTCAGCCTCCTGAGATGCTCCTGAGTCCTGAGATTGCAGCCAGACATGCAGCACCACGCTTGGCTAAGTTGTCTTTTTGATGTCCTGCAGCCATATGATTGCAACCTTGTAGCGCTTATGTTTCCAAATGGGCCATGTTTTACACATAGGATCTTGTTGATCCTCATTGTATTCCCACCTGCATGAAAACATCAGAAAGCATAAATAATGTTGTAAGCCTTCCCTGGCTTCTTAAGGCCTTACTTTGTGGCCTTGATGTGAAACTGATATTTCTGAAGAAAATACCTACCTCATTTATGAATTTTTCCTTCTTTTATAGATTGCATAAATCAAAATGAGATGACGACTCTTCAAAGATTTACAGTAAAATACCTTTCAGAGTTATCCTGCTGGCAAATCTGGAAACATGTTGCAAGTGAATTAACCAGGTGTCTTCACAGGACAAATTCCTGGTTGCTACAAGGCAGTTGCATTCAGGTTTTTGAAAATGAAAGCAATGTTAGGGATCATAAAAGAAATCACTCCAGGTATATTGAAAATCAAGTGTTTTCAATTTCAGGAATTCAGAATTCTTCCCCAAATGAGTGTTTGATTGAGTCACAGAATCAAAGTAGTGGTAAACAAGTGGATGCGAAAAACAAGCTGTATTTGAATGAAGATGTGATGAAGAAATTATGCAGTGAGCACATCGAAAGCAATACAGAGCAACAATCCTACCAGCATAGTGAATGTGGCCGAAGTATGAGAGAGGGCTCCAGTGGGCAGTTACCATTAGGAGAGAAACTGCGTCCGTGCCGCGAGTGTGAATGGGGCCTCAGTTACAGGTCAGTGCTTCAGCAGAACATGCGCACCAGAGAGAGATGCTTCAGTCAAAGCTTGCACTCACAGTCTCCTTTGAGAATTCACCCAGTGGAGAAACTGCATGATGGTCACGAGCCTGGAAGTTGCTCCAGTAGGAGTCCTTGTCTTTCTCATCAGCCTAATCATATAGGTGAGAAGTCCTTTACATGTGACAGTTGTGGCAAGGGATTCAGTAGCAGCACAGGCCTCATCATTCATTACCGAACTCACACTGGAGAGAAACCTTATAAATGTGAGGAATGCGGCAAATGTTTTAGTCAGAGTTCAAATTTTCAGTGTCATCAGAGGGTCCATACTGAAGAAAAACCATACAAGTGTGAAGAGTGTGGTAAGGGCTTTGGTTGGAGTGTTAATCTCCGTGTCCATCAGAGGGTCCATAGCGGTGAAAAACCCTATAAATGTGAAGAGTGTGGTAAGGGTTTCACTCAGGCCGCACATTTTCACATACATCAGAGAGTCCACACCGGAGAGAAACCCTACAAATGTGATGTGTGTGGTAAGGGCTTCAGTCACAATTCACCATTAATATGCCATCGGAGAGTCCATACTGGAGAGAAACCATATAAATGTGAGGCATGTGGGAAAGGCTTTACCCAAAACACAGATCTTCACATCCATTTCAGAGTTCACACAGGAGAAAAACCCTACAAATGTAAGGAGTGTGGTAAGGGCTTCAGTCAGGCTTCCAATCTTCAAGTCCATCAGAATATCCACACAGGGGAGAAACGATTCAAATGTGAAACATGTGGGAAGGGCTTCAGTCAGTCTTCAAAGCTACAAACCCATCAGAGAGTCCACACGGGCGAGAAACCGTACAAATGTGACGTGTGTGGTAAGCACTTCAGTTACAGTTCAAATCTTAAACTACACCAAGTAATTCACACTGGAGAAAAACCATATAAATGTGAAGAGTGTGGAAAGGGCTTCAGTTGGAGATCAAATCTTCATGCTCATCAGAGAGTCCACTCAGGAGAGAAACCCTATAAATGTGAAGAATGTGATAAGAGCTTCAGTCAGGCCATTGATTTTCGGGTACATCAGAGAGTCCATACTGGAGAGAAGCCATACAAATGTGGTGTATGTGGGAAGGGTTTCAGTCAGTCATCTGGCCTCCAATCCCACCAAAGAGTTCACACTGGAGAGAAGCCATACAAATGTGAAGTGTGTGGTAAGGGCTTTCGATACAGCTCACAGTTTATATACCATCAGCGAGGCCACACTGGAGAGAAACCTTACAAATGTGAGAAGTGTGGGAAAGGCTTTGGAAGGAACTTGAACCTTCGCCATCATCAGAGGGTCCACACGGGAGAGAAACCCCACAAATGTGAGGAGTGTGGGAAGGCCTTCAGCCTCCCCTCAAATCTTCGAGTTCACTTGCATGTTCACACTAGGGAGAAACTCTTTAAATGTGAGGCATGTGGGAAGGGCTTTAGTCATAGTGCACGCCTTCAGGCCCACCAGAGAGTCCATACTGGGGAGAAACCATACAAATGTGATGTGTGTGGTAAAGACTTCAGTCACCATTCCCGTCTTACATACCATCAGAGAGTCCACACTGGCAAAAAGCTCTAGAAATAAGGAATTTATTCATGGTTTTTGACAAAATACACATTTTTAGGTTTTTAGAAAGTCCATACTGGTGATAAACTATAAAAATATTCTTCAGACTCAGAAGCTAATATATGCTTTAAAATAATAACAAATAGTTACAGGACTACAACTCATATTTAAGGAATTAGAGCTTTCAGTCCTCTTGGCAATACACATTTAATATAAATGACCTTTCAGCGTGACTCCACCGAAAGATAATGTGTAAAAATACTTGTCGCTAATTAATTATTTTAATTTTAGGGAGGCTTGTGAGTTATTTTTTAAAATTTCCTTTTATACCTAACCGTATATTTTTATTTGTATTAAAACTGTACAACTTGGGGCTGGTGAGATGGCTCAGTGGTCTAAAGCACCTACTTAGAACAAGCTTAGCAAAGCACAGGGACC